AGGGGCTGGGGGCGTGGTCAGGGTGGAGCCCCGCCTAAAATCCTCAGTGAGGGGATGGGGGCGTGGTCAGGGTGGAGCCCCGCCTAGAACCCCCCAGTGAGGGGCTGGGGGCGTGCTCAGGGTGGAGCCCCGCCTAGAATCCCCAGTGAGGGGCTGGGGGCGTGGTCAGGGTGGAGCCCCGCCTAGAATCCTCCAGGGAGGGGCTGGGGGCGTGGTCGGGGTGGAGCCCCGCCTAGAATCCCCAGTGAGGGGCTGGGGGCGTGGTCAGGGTGGAGCCCCGCCTAGAATCCTCAGTGAGGGGATGGGGGCGTGGTCAGGGTGGAGCCCCGCCTAGAATCCCCAGTGAGGGGCTGGGGGCGTGGCTCAGAGGTAGGGCACATGCTTGCATGGGCTCAATTCTCAGTACTAGGAAAACAGATGCCAACATCGAGGCCAGTAAAATGGTTCTGTGGGTTAAGTGCTGCGAACCTGATAGCCTAAGTTCAATATCCAGCACCCTCTTGGTGAAAAGAGAGCTCCAACTCCTGCAAGTTGTTCTCTGACCCCGCAGACACATGCACTTTGACATACGCACCCCTGTACACACATACACAGTGAGTGTAGTAAAAATTCACTCGGAGCCCAAACAAACTGGGTTTCAGTGCAGCAAGACTCTGGGATTAGTCCTCGGAACTCTCAGGGTAAAATGGAAAATAAAACCTGCACCTTTGTTACTGTAGCAAACAGGAGGCCCCGCTTGTGCAGCCACTGCAGGCTGGACACTGCATCCGCTGGAGTCATCCATCCTGTCCTTGGCCAGAGCTGGGCCACACGGTCATGCTGCCCAGGGACTAGAAAGAGGGGTGACTGAAGACACTGGCCGGCCAATTTCAACTAACGAGGACTTACTGTCATCACCAAGGACAGGACCTGCTCTGTAATAGACACGGCTGCCTGATTCCCTTGGGCTGGAGAGATGGCTCAGTGGATAACCATACATACAGCTTTTGCGGAATCTGAATTCAATTCCCAGCACTCGCGTCAAGTGACTGACAGCTGCCTGTAACTTCCGCTCCAGGAGCTCTGGCGCTCTCTTCTGGCCTCTGGGTATCTGCACACCCATGTAAATACCCACCCACAGATATACACATACAGATAATTTAAAATAAACCTGTTTTTGTTTTAAGATTGGCATCCTTATCAGATAGGGGAGCGTTTCTGTGGAAAGGGGCTGACATGAGAATGTGAACAGGAAGGGCCTGGAACTTAGGTGGGTAGACCTGGAGTTGTTCTATGGCTTTAAGAAGTCACGGTGGTGTGGAGCTAGGGAGAGCCACTGTGGAGTCTTCAGGCTGTGCCTTGGTTCTCACATCACTTATCCTTCTTACTTGGAGAGGGACGCTGTCACATTCTCATCTCCAGAGTGTGGGGCCTGGAACGTCCTGCAGAGAGCCACAACCCACATCCTAGAAGCAGAAGCACCAGGACACGGCTCCCTAAGAGCCCTAAGAACCTGCCACTCTGTGCCCTCAAGACTCCATTTGAATGAAATGCAGGGCAATGCTCTGGAAATGCTGTAGAAACTTACTATATACTGACTTCAGCTTACAGGGAAGGACTTCAGGCATGGCTGAATCCAGAACTTCTGATGCCATAGCAGATACCTTCGGCCCTACCGGCTCTGCGTCTTGCCTGGCTGGCTTCCTTCTGGCCATTGGCAGGGGCAGCCTGCAGCTGTGAGATCTGCCTTCCAACTCAGCAAGTTATACAGGCGTGGGCCAGGCCCAGTCAAAGAAAGAAAATGTGGGAGCAGGTCTCCTGTAGCCCAGGCTGGCCTTGAAATGTAGTGGTGGATGACCTTGGACTCCCAGAGTCTTCCCAGGGTGGGGTGGGAGAGCAGTTGGCTCCCACTTCCTGAGTGCTAGTCTAGCAGGTCTGCAGGGTGGAACCCAGGGCTTCCCGCCACTCTGGTGACATCTGAGCTATGGCTGCGGCTCTGTTTGTTTTCTGGATTTTGTTGTTGTTGATGTCTGGCTGGCCTGGACCACTCTGTAGATCAAGTTGGCCTTGAAATCACAGAGATTAAAGGTGTGTGCCACCACACCTGACTGGCCCCGTTTGATTTTTGAGTCAGGGTCTTTCCATGCAGCCCAGGCTAGCTAAAACTTGTCATCCTCCTGCCTCAGCCTGGGATGGATTCGTGCATGCCTTCACACCCAAGGCTTTGAAGGTCCTTAGCTGGATAGTTTCTTGTAACTAGAGAAAGAGACAGATCCCCAGACTCTGGGTTAGAGACCTGCATAACTAGAGGCCATTGTCCTATCTGCCCCACTTAAATTGTCCTATGTCTGCCGCGAGGCACAAACATTCAGACTTTCAAGCCTCAACAGATCCTTTCTTTGTGCCTAGTTGTAGCAGAATGATCTGGAGTCCCAGACCAGCTTGAGCTACAGAACAAGACTTTCTGTCAAAAAGAAGTGAGGGCTGGGATGTGGCGGAACAGTGGAGCACTGGGCAAACAACCCCGGGCTTCTGAGTTGAGACCCTTGGCACCCACGGACAAAGCTGGGTGTGTGGATATAACCTGTGCTGGGGAGGCAGACACGGGAGGATTCCCTGGGGCTCTCCAGCCAACCAGTCTAGCTGAATTAGTGACTTCCAGCATCACCGAGAGACCCCATTTCGAAATATAAGGTGGAAAGCAGTCAGGTGTGGGCCCCAGGCCCCTGGCCTCTGGCCGCCGCTCACACAGACACGTACACACAGACCCCTCCTCAGCCAGCCATGACCTCTCCTGTTGGTCTCAAGCGTGGCTTCACCCTCCAGGCTCTTCAGGGGTCGAGGGGTCTCGAGTCTGTCATTTCCTCTGTGCTCCGGGGTCTGGGTGAGAGAGAAGTCTGTGAAGTTGAGCAGAGATCATGGGCGTGAGCCGAGAACAACCGACTCTCAGAGCTTGGCGGTAGGAAGTGGGCAGCAGGGGAGAGAAGGCTGAGTTGGGGACAGTTGTGCCAAGGGTGTCCCTGGGGAACCCATGGGTTCCCAGTATGTGGGAGCAGGACAGAGAGGGGCCCTGAACCCATGCCAGCCACACAATGGTCCTTTGATTCACCCAGCCCAGGCCACAGTGGCCCAACACGAGGGGTCAGGCCTCGGCCAAGGTCAGTGCTGTCCACCCCCAACTGCCTCCTGCAAGCTCTTGGTGAGAACACAGGGTCCCATGCCCCGCCCAACCTAGGAGCATCCTTGGGGGAGCTGCCAGAGACCAGGGCCAGGTCAGTACCCTCCCTCATTGGCACTGGACAGCTCTAGTAAGGAAAAGAACGGCTTCTGCGGCCAGTGATCTGCCGGGGCCTCACTGTGTGATGCCAAGAAGTGGGAAGATGTCACCTGAAGGGGTCTGGAGTAGATGTAAGGACGGGGTGATCTCAGGAGACCCAGTGTTCCCTATAGCACCCCCATATTTTCTAGCTATAGATTAATTTATCTGTGTATTTTTTAAATATATTTATTTTATACGAGTGAGTGTTTCACCTGCCATGTCTGTGTACCATGTGTGTGCAGTACCCGAAGAGGCCAGGAGCGGGCGTCAGATCCTCTGCAACTGGAGTTACAGACAGTTGTGAGCTCCGTGTGGGTGCTGGGAACCGAACCCCAGTTCTCTGGAAGAGCAGCCAGTGCTCGTAACTGCTGAGCCATCTCTCCAGGCCCTTATTTGTGTATTTTGTTGTCTAAACCATGAGCTGGGTGAGGACAATACTACATCATCCTTGGTCACTGGGATCCCCCACACCACAGCTTGTCCACTAATTCCCCCAAATCCACAAGGGACTCCATAAGACCCAAGGGCATTTCAAGGAAAAGTGAGCTAGCTACTTTGGAGGCCCCCAGATGGGGGGTTCTAGGTTCAAGAGAGAAGACCCCAGACCCTCTGGCCTGAGGCCCCAGAGCACAAAACACCCCAGACCCATGCCAGTATTACCCTCATGGACTGTGGAAATCTCATGGCACCTGTGGTCTATCTACGCCGGAAGCTGGGTGTTTACCTGGGAGGGAGAGGAGAAGAGTCCCCCAGTCTTTTCGACACATTTTTGTGTGTGTGTGCCACAGCTAGTGTAGGGTCAGAGGATTAGACAACTTGCAGGAGTCAGGTCTCCGTCTTCTGAGTCTCTGCGGCGTCCTGGGGATGGAGCTCAGGTTGGCAGGCATGGCCCCACACACCTTCACTCTTTGAACCAGCTTTTTGTGGGGTTATTTTGAGGCAGGGTCTCACCATGTAGCCCTGGGTGTCCTGGATCTCACTCTGCAGACCAGGCTGGCCTCGAACTCACAGAGATCTGCCTGACTCTGCCTCCCAATGCTGGGATTACAGGCCTGGCCACTGAGCCATCCTGACTGTTTTGAGACAGGGTCTCCCTGGCCTGGACTCCTTAGGTAAACCAGTTTGGATTTGAACTTGTGACCCTCCTAAGTGCTGGGATTCTAGGGTGTGCCTCCCTGCCTGATTTCTTTCGTGGGTGTGTGTGGGTCCATGTGCACATCGGGTGTTCTGTTTCAGCACTCTGGGCCTTGGACACCGACTCTCTCTAAAGTTGGAGCATGGCTCCCGGCCAGCAAACCCCAGCGACCCTCCCGTCTCCACTCCCCGCCGTTCCGGGGTCACAGGCCCTCTTGCCCTGCACGCTCAGCTCACACTACATGGGGGGCTGGAGTTTTGAACGCAGGTCCTCCTCTTTATTCAGTAATCAGTCTTAACTCCTGAGCCATCTTCTAACCTTGGGTTTTGTTTTTCCTTCTTGAGACAGGATCTCAGGTTGCCCAGGCTAGCCTGAAGTTCCCTCTGTCGCTGAGAATGACCTTGACCTCCTTGACCCGCCCGCAAGGTGGGGTGGCAGGTGTGCACCAACATGCCTTCTGCATGCTGGCCGAGCCCTCTACCCCCGACCAAGCTACTGATGGCTCTAGTCTGACTCACTCTGAACTCACAGCAATCCTCCTGCTTCAGCTAGAATGAGAGGTATGAGCCTTTAAACAGCTTGGAGCAGCTCAGGGACACCCTTTGCCACCTTGGGGCTGGTGAGTGTGAAGGTCAAGCCAGAGGCTGAAGAGACCAGATGGCAGCCTCATTGTCATGCCCAGCCCAGACTTTCAGACACACTCCAGGTGGAGACCCCAGGGGAACGCGGACACCTGGCGGTGTCCACCTTAGTCACCTCCATGCCCCCCGGGCTGCAGTTTGTGACCTGACCCCACTGTGGGCTGTTCTTCCTAGACAACTGTCTGGTTCCCAGATGGGATAGGGCCTGCCCCCGGCGGCCACCCCCGCGCAGGCCCGGGCCCTGCGCCTAGGGGACACGTCCGTCCCGCCGCGCCCCGCCCCGCCCGCCGCCGCCGGCCCCGCCCGCCTTGGGCTTTTATAGGCCGAGGCGCCCGCACTCCCTGAGTCCCTGCTGCTGCCCCACACTCGCCATGCGTCCTGGGGCACTGTGGCCGCTGCTTTGGGGAGCCCTGGTCTGGGCGGTGGGATCCGTGGGCGCCGTGATGGGCTCGGGGGATTCCGCGCCCGGTGAGTGGGGCTGGGCGGAAGGGGCGGGCGAGCGGGCCACCCACGTGGCCTGCGGAATGCGGCAGGGGGATGTCTAGGGTGCGCTCTGGCTGGGTGGGCGAGTGGGGTGCTCCACGCCTCCAGCCTCAAGAGAGGACTGACATTTATTTATTAAGCTCTTATTGTTTGCCTGCTTTCCCATGAGTCCACAGAACCCAAAGTTGTGGGTACTTTTTCCATCCCCGTTTTCAGGATGGGTAAACTGAGGCTCGGGGTCATGAACCTCTGGTAAGTGACACTGTGGGTGGCCCCTTTAGAGAGACATCTCTTTTAGAGAGACATCTCTGGGTGGCCAGACCTGCTAATGCCATCTGGGTAGAGGGTTTCAGGATTCCTTGGAATGTCTGTTAGAATGGTATACCTGCATCTGGCTTGGAGAGCTCTAGCCTCAGTTTCCCGTTTTGAAAAGTGTTTGCTGAGGTGGGGGGCCCAGTTCGTGGAAGGCGTCCAGTAGTGTCTCCTGAGCACGGATGAGTCCTGATACAGGGGATGCGGCTGTCCCCATTTAAGGGTGAAGAAAGCTGGGCTCTGCGTTCCAGCCTCTACCCCGCCCCGCGGGGCTGCCGGCCTCCAGGGGAGCCGAGCCCCCTCCCCTAGGGCCGCGTCCCCCGTCCCATCCCAGGGGAGTGAGCTCACGCAGAGGGAATGTTCCCCGTTGGAGTGAGTAAGAGGCGGCTGGGGGGGGCTGCAGGCCGGGGCTCGGCCGCCCTGGGCACTGTCTAGACAGAGGGCAGAGGCGGGAAGCCAGTGCAGGCCCACAGACCCTCACATGCCGAGTGCCTGGCATTTGAAGGGGCCGGGCAGGGTGCCAGTTCTCAGGCCCGGAGGCCGGGCAGAGCTGGTGGTGGAGCACTGGGGTGCGGCTCAGAGGAGGAGGGCTCCCCACAGAGCAGAGTCAGGACCAAAACTGTGGCTTTCTGTCCCGTCTTCCTGAGTAGGGGGACAGGATACCCATGATGGCTATGGACAGCTCTCAGTTGGAGGGGGCATTAGGCCTGGGGTGTTGGGGGTTGGTTAGGAGTTTGCTACAGAGACTATACACACAGAATAATTTGTAGGTAGAGGTGGGGGCCTGGAGTCACCCTCCAACTCCTCCTGTGGCATAGGCGGTGTCTGCTGGCTCCAGCAGGGCAGAGAGGCCACCTGCAGTCTGGTGCTGAAGACCGACGTCAGCCGCGAGGAGTGCTGTGCCTCCAGCAACATCCACACAGCCTGGTCCAACTTCACTCACCCAGGCAACAAAATCAGCCTGCTGGGCTTCCTGGGCCTCGTCCACTGCCTCCCCTGCAAAGGTGAGGATTGGGGTCGGGGGGGGGGGGGGGCCGGAGCCGCAGAGAGCCCCAGCCTGTCTCCATCGTCACCCACACGCCGCGGCCCTGAGTACCGCCAATTTTACGTGGTTAATATGCCTGAGAATGCCCCCCCCCGTCCCTGCTGAGAACAGAGTGGCATCCAGATACCCTCTGCCTTGGAGGGAGCGCGGGTCGGAGGGTACCCCGGTCTCTCTGTGATCAGGGCTGAACCAGCAAGGACCTGGAGGAAGTGCTGGGGAAGGACGTGGAGAATTTGGGCATTAGATGTAGGGTATTGGGAGATGATTAGGAGTTTGCTGGGTGGACCCCACAAGGAAGAGTGCACTGGGGCTAGGGTCGGTCTCTAGGAGGGTGGGTGCCCTCAGGCAGCTTACCCAGGAGGCTAGGCTGCAGACCTGAAGGGCAAGCCCAGGTGCTTGCGCTGGCCTGTGGGACAGGATTGACGTCGGGTCAGCCTGGCTGTGTCCACCGCCACAGACCCTCCTCCAGACCCCACCCCTGGCTTCTGGGAAGAGAACAGACACCCAGAAACAGGCGCCTGGCCTGGGTGTGAGGGCTGATGACTGCCCTCTCCAGCCTCCTGTGGCCCCTCCCTTTAGTTCTTAGATTTCCTAAAGTTGGCTAGAGGGTCGGCTCCAGATGTCCGGGTGGGTGGTCCCTGTGGGGTGCCCAGGCGTAACCCTGCAATGTGGGTCTCTCCAGCCCTTTACACCGGGAAACCGAGGCCAGAGAGTTCAGGGTCTGTTCGTCTGTTCTCCAGACCCACAACGCAGCTGAACTGGGAGAGGGAGGGGTGTCCATTCTGATTCTAGCATGAAGTTCTCAAGCTAGGATGTTTTGGGGGTCCTCTTGTACTCAGAGCTGTAACAGCCTCAGTTTCCGCATCTGTAAAATGGTGGCTGAACCACATATTAAAAGGGACACGCGGCCAGGAGTGGTGGTGCAGGCCGATTCCCAGCACTTGGGAATAGAGGATCAGGAGTTCAAGGCCAGCCTGGGCTACAGGAGACCCTGTCTCAAAAGAGCAAAATAAAGAGTGCGGGGCATCCCAACACAAGACTGTCCAGCCGAGCCTCTTAGGGCAGGCTGGTTAGGGGAACCGTCAGGGCACACGCACGCAGTAGCCGTGCACTGGGGTGCGCCTGGACTCCAGTGGCACGTGGGAAACCCACCTGCGCGCGTCCTGTGTCCCCAGATTCCTGCGACGGAGTGGAGTGCGGCCCCGGCAAGGCGTGCCGCATGGTGGGGGGGCCGTCCCCACTGCGAGTGCGCACCCGACTGCCAGGGGCTTCCCGCGGGCTTGCAGGTCTGCGGCTCCGATGGCGCCACCTACCGGGACGAGTGTGAGCTGCGCGCCGCGCGCTGCCGCGGACACCCTGACCTGCGCGTCATGTACCGAGGCCGCTGCCAAAGTAAGGGACGCGGCGTGGAGAGGCGGGGCCGCGGAGAGGCGGGGCCGCAGAAGGTGAAAGCAGGGCCTGGGGGCGGGGCTAGGGAGATGAGGGCGGGGCGGGACCCGCAGGGCGGGGCGGGGCCCGGGAAAAGGTAGCGCACGGAGAGGGGTGGAGTCTCTGGAGGGGCGGGGCCTAATGGAGGTGTGACTAAGCAGGGGCGGAGCCTGGGGTAGAAGGGCCCGGGGAGAGATGGGCAGGGCCTGGAAGGGGCGTGGCCTAGTGTACTCTAGGGGCGGAGCCTTTGGGGGCGTGACCTGTACGAAGTCCGGGCCAAATGTTGGTAAACAGGCTCTAGGGGCGTGGCCACGTCGGCCGCACTCTAGGGACACTGGGGAGTGGCCCCGCTAGGGGGCGGGGCCTGAGGGAGGGGCAGGTCTATGCAAGACTGTGGGTCAGATCAGTGGGTGCCAAAGTCGCCGGCTGCGAGATTGAGCCCGAGCCCCGGGGTAGCTGCAACGCTCAGGCGTGTCTGGGGACAGGGCTGTGCGCGGCAGCACGTAGCGTTCCGCAGCCCCGCGGGCCAGCGTGCCCTCACAAGTGTGACGCGCGGGAGGAGGCTCGCGATGGGCTGCGGGGGAACGTGGGGGTAGCCACGGAGGCCGCCTGATGGGTGGAGCTTGGTGGAATGGGGCGGGGTTTGGCAGCTGAGGGGGGCTGTTGTCCTGGGGGCGGGGCTTCGCGGAGCCGGGGTGGGATTGGTTCTAGGGCCTGGTAGGCGGGAGCTGGTGTTCCAGGGCGGGGCTCGGGGAGGGGCGGCGCGGTTTTCCTCCCCAGGAAGGGGGCTTTCAGGTGGGGCCCTAGGGTGAGGGCGGCTGGACCCACGGGAGGAGACGCCGTGCAGCGCCTGACCCGCCCTCCCTCGGGCCCACAGAGTCCTGCGCTCACGTAGTGTGCCCGCGCCCCCAGTCGTGCCTTGTGGACCAGACCGGCAGCGCGCACTGCGTGGTGTGTCGCGCCGCGCCCTGTCCGGTGCCTTCCAGCCCCGGCCAGGAACTCTGTGGCAACAACAACGTTACCTATATCTCCTCCTGTCACCTGCGCCAGGCCACCTGCTTCCTTGGCCGCTCCATTGGGGTTCGCCACCCGGGCATCTGCACAGGTGAGACTCAGTGGGCCTGGGCATCGGTCCACCAAGGGGTGGTGCGTGCGCTCACTGTCGCCTTTCCCTCCATCCCTGCAGGTGCCCCCAAAGTACCGCCAGAGGAGGAAGAGAACTTCCTGTGAGCTGCAGCAGCTGGTGTTTGAGGCCGTCCCAATTTTATTTATTGTCGCAGAAAAGATTCTAATTTTCTAATTTATGTCACGTGGACGTCCCCCAAACCTGGCCTGGAACCACTTGTGGATCCCCTAGGATCCTGAGCACGTATCACAAAGGACTGAAGGGAGATGTTATAAGAGTTGGTATGTGCCATCACCAGGTACTGGGATCGAGTTATGACCCCAGACGCCTGCTGCCCAGGAAGGGCAGCTTCATGGAGACCCCGGCCTTGATATCTCCGCCTGCTTTCTAGGCTGGAGCTGAGTCTCAGGGCACAGTCAATGGTAGCTGTGCCCTCTGCAACTGCTGTTCACACGGGGCCTCCCGGCCTCAGATGGGGGGGCAGTTAGCCCAGAAACACTGGGTTCCTCCCTCTTTACTCCACTTAGAGTGGGACCCGGTGGGAACCTGGCTGACTGCGTAGTCTGTGGACACCAGAACTCACTGTGCCCAGAGTCACCCGAGTGCCTACTGTCCTGTTCTGGGGACCCCAGAATCAGCTTTTACCCAGGTCCCAGCCAGCCGCATTCATCACCAAGCTCTGCAACAGGTGGTGACATCAGCCAGGTGCTGTTTGGGGCATGACCCTTCACTCTGACAGCTGCCACTCAAAATTACCCACATGTGCCTTGAAGGAGACCAAAAAGAATGGGGAGCTGTGGCTCAGTGGTTAGAGTGCTTTCCCAGCATGCACAAAGCCCTGGGCTCCATCTCCAGCACCACATGAACAGACATGTCGGCACACACCTGCCATCCCAGCACACAGGAGGATCAGGAGTTCAAGGCCAGCCTGGGTTACCTGAGACCTTTTCTCTAAAAAATTAAAAAGGAAGACAAAATGTCAGCTCACAAACAGAGGCCCGTAGGAGGGTGCACAGCCCCCCATTTGGGGGCAAAGAGTCCCAGGTCTTCTCTACCCCCCAGTCCTCGGCTGTCCCCAAAAGTGTCCTTAGCCGGCAGCCTGGGCAGCCTCTCCCACCCTGGGGTTCTGCCTCACCAAAGAAATAAAGATGGTAAAAACCACCATGGTGACCAGGCTCAGCCTCCACCTGCCTCTTCTCTCTCAACCTGGGGACTGGGGTGGAGCGTGGGGCCAACCATGAGAGCTTCCAGAAAGATGCGGCACATGTTCACGGGTCCCTGGGAAGCATGGAGACAAGCAGAGGGGACGGAGAAGAAGTGGGCCCCTCTGGGGTCTGAGGTAGAGGGACAAGATGGCTCAGAAGTGAAGGCTTGCCCTCAGTGGAGGGACGGCGGCTGTTGGGATGATTACTAAGCTGAGGCAGCCTTTCCTAGGAGGCCAGGCTAATCCGCGGTTCCAGGATGGAGTGGCCATTTTGTTTTATTTTTTATCTTTTATCTTTTTGTCCTCGCTGTGTATTTTGGTCCCCTGTCTGTGTGTTAGTGAGGTTAGTCTGCCATCCATAAGGGGACAGAGCAGGTACAGAGGCCAGGAGCCACCTGGAGTGGGGACCTATGGTGTGGGAGTGGGTGATCTCGGGCGGGGAGCATAATGGGTGAGGGGCTGTGAAAGGGTCTTGAGTGCAGGGTTGAGGGGTTCCTTAGGGACACTGACCACACACGGAGCTGTAAGCCCTGTGTCTCGTTAGCCTTCAGTACCGCTCCTCATTTTGTATGGATGCCTGCAGCCCAAGCTGCAGGTTCTCCATGGTCTCCAGCCAAGCCACGGACTATTCCAGATTCGCCCATGGACACAGTGCCCTTCATCTCGGCCCCAGTAGGGGGCTGAGATTCAAACATCCCTCACAGAGCATCCCATAGAGCAAGGGGAGGAACTTCCCCGAACCACGTCCCAGATCCAGGCCACAAAAGCCGACACTTGAGTGTAGACATCCGGGGTCTTGGGGTCACCACACCAGAGGCCTGAGAAGGAGACAAGGCCGTGGGCCCGGCTCCCACAGACCAAGGGCCCCCCAGAGTCTGCCTGGAGTGACAAAAAAGTTGGAGTTAGGTGTTGCTCTTGGGGTCTTTGCCCCCCAAAGGAGTCTCTTCTATACAGACAGGTCTGTGGTCTTTGAGTGGTACACAGCCCGCATGGCGGTGTGCCCCTGTCTTCTGACGTGTCTCTCAAGTCTCAGCCCCCAGGCTGTCTTTTCTGTGTCCTGTCTACCCTAAAATCCCCAACTCACCCTGGAATCAAGCGTTAGAAGTCCAAGCGCCCCCTACTGGACCTGCCCCCTAAGCTCGTGTCCACAGCCCCAGGGCATTTCGTGCAGGGCACAGCCTGCAGAAATGAAGGGAACACCTCTGTCCAACCGCCCCTCACCTTCCTGGGCCTCATTTCTCCGTCTAGTCAAACATCAGTGGGACTCAGTTCTCAGAGGTAGCCTATGTCCAGCCCTGACCCCTCTGTGGGTCTCGGTTTCTCCAGACAACAGGCCATCTTACCGAGCAGAAACCACGCCACCGGCGGTCCCCGCTGCGGGTGCAGAGCACGGCAGGACTCAGCTGGCCCTGCCAGGAGCTGTTGCAAACACTCAGGTCCAGCACGCGCACCTCGGCTTCCATCAGCCCCGGGGGAGGCTCCTCAAAGTCAGACATGAAGCCCCAGCCGGACACACGGCAACGCGTCCCGGCCAAGGGTGGCCGGGCGCCTCTCCGTGGCAAGCGCAGTAGCCGGACAGCAGGGCCCAGGACAGCTGAGCCGTTCAGCTGCGGGAGGAATGCTGGAGTCAGAGCCGCAGCCCCTCTCCCCCAGGGCTCCCGAGCTGGGGTACCTTCCCATTCAGCCTCAGGCCTCAGATTAGACATCACTCTTCAGGAACCTCTCAAAGTCGTCAGTACAAAAGGCCCTCGGGCCGCTGGGTGCTGGTCGGCTGTGGGGCTGCCTGGGGTGGCTGCCTGGGGCCTCTGCAAGGTCTCCGGCTACTCAGCTGAAGGGGAGGACGGAATGACCAAACCTCCAGGCAAGGACTAGTCCATCTAGCTGCACCTTTACCTCAGTTTCCCCATTCTCCCCAGCCTGTTTCCCCACCTGTACTAGACATCAGGTGACTCTAGGGAGACTCACCCCCGGACTCCGGCAGTGGGAACCCTCATTGCCTCCTCTGTCCTACGAAACTGCCGTGCCCTGAAGCCCACGGTACCCAGGGAGCTTGCCGCTGTGTCTGTAGGCCAGCTCTGAGACACTCCCTTGAGAAACAGGACCTCGACGCTCTTGGCTTTGCTTTTTATTCCCAGAGGTGGGAGTCATGAAGGGTTCTGGGCAGCGGAGGTGTAGGGCAGGATTCAGGAGTCTGAGGTGCTACCAGGCATCTTCAAACAGAATTCCAGAACCCTTTCTTTCTTTGTCCCCAGAGACAGGGTTTCTCTGTGTAGTTTTGGAGCCTGTCCTGGATCTCACTCTGTAACCCCAGCATTCAGGAGGCAGAGGCAGGCAATCTCCGGGTTCGAGGCCAGCCTGGTCAATAGTGAGTTCCAGGACAGCCAGAACTACACAAAGAAACCCTGTCTTGAAAAGAGTTCATCCCCAGCCCCACAAAAAATTAAATAAACAAACTCAGAAGTCAGGTGGGCCCGGGTCTGCCAGCCACCCTCCTGCAGCTCACCCTTAACAGGCAGATGTCGTTGGCCTGTGTGGCAGGCTGGTAACTGGGATGCTGGACAAGAGCTGCAATGCTAAACACCTGTCGTGTGGGCTCCGCTTTGAGCAGTGCATGGGCCCCGAGCACCACCAGGCCAGTGGAGGGGTCCCTGCAGGGAGAGGAGAGGGGTAAGATCAGCTCATGCAGCCCCTCACAGTCCCCAGGGTTACAGCCCTCCTCCACTACAGCGGTGCTCCAGTCCTGGCAATATTAACGAGTTATAAAAATACACTTAACACAGCACAACCTTATTTGTTACAATTCTTACTTCCACAATACTATTTTGTAGTGCTGAGTATGAAACCAAAGCCTCAAGCTTCCTGCTAGACAAGTATGCTACCCATGGCCACGGCCCCAGACCCTCACTGGAGATTCTAGGTGGGGCTCCATCCTGACCACGCCCCCAGCCCCTTACTGGAGATTCTAGGCGGGGCTCCACCCCGACCACGCCCCCAACCCCTCACTGGGGGATTCCAGGCGGGACTCCACCCTGACCACGCCCCCAGCCCCTCACTGGGGGATTCTAGGCGGGGCTTCATTCTGACCACGCCCCCAGCCCCTCACTGGGGGATTCTAGGCGGGGCTCCATCCTGACCACGCCCCCAGCCCCTCACTGGGGATTCTAGGCGGGGCTTCATCCTGACCACGCCCCCAGCCCCTCACTGGGGATTCTTGGCGGGGCTCCACCTGACCACGCCCCCAGCCCCTTACTGGGGGATTCTGGGCAGGGGCTCTATTATTCAGCTACAACTCTACAACTATTTACTTATTTATTTTTGAGACAAGTTCCCAGTCTAGAGCTAAAACTTAGCTTCAGTTTTCCATCCTCCTGACTCAGCCTTCGAGCCTTCTGGCTAATTGGAATTCCCAGACCGGGCTGCCATTCCCAGCAGTAATGTGCGTGCTAACAGTAACACACTTTATGTTGAAGGTGATCATAGTTATTAAATTTGATTGTTATCACCAGAAGTGCCCCGGGGGAGGGTTGGTCCTGTCTGGGTCACATCCTAGCGATGGCCTTAAGTTCATCCCTCAGTGGCCCCAGCACATCACCTGTCTCTGAAGCAGTGGGCAGCTGACACCACCCAGTGGACATGGAGCAGAAAGCCTCCGCAGTGGTGACGGCCCTCGAAGCTCACAGAGACCATGTAGGGCCGGGAATGTGGTGTCACTTCATGGCCCCCGATAATCTGGGATCCACAGCAACCTGGGATAAGTGCGACTATGTGAAAGACCAGGACAGGAAGATGGACCAATGGAGGCCAGCCCTAGCAGGGGGCAGGAGTGGAGGCGGGGCTGAGAGGACAGGGGTAAACAGAGGCACTCAGGAGGCAGAGGCAGGCAATCTCTGTGGGTTCAAGGCCAGCCTGGTCTACATGGGAAAGTTCCAGAACAGCTGGGCTACATAGTGAGACCTTCCCTAAGTAAGGGTGGGGGAGAGAACAAGAACAGGAGAAACCCTGGACGACTGACGGGGTTCAGTAGCCAAAGGCAGTGGCTCCAACCTTGACAACCCGACCTCAATCCCAGGGACTCCCATGGCAGAAGGGCACAACCAACCCCTGTAAGTTTACCACTGGTTGCCACAAGCACCACAGACATATGATCCATCAAATAAATAAATGTAATTTTAAAAATAGGACACTTGGGGAAATGGTCCATCACTTAAAACCCCTGGCTGGTCTTGGGACTCAGGTTCGATTCCCAGCACCAACATGGTAGTGCCAACTCCAGTTCTAGGGGATCTGGCACCCTCTCCTAGCCTCCTCAGACACCCCTTGCATGCAGACATGCAGACAAAATACTCATAAAAAAGAAAGTATTAGGGAATCCAGAGCCCACAATCCTGTACCCGAGATGGCCAAGATCACTGCCTGGCACCGCACGCTCCAACCCACAGCCACCGTTCCTGGTTCAGCAGTTAGACTAGATGTGGGTCCTATTTGGGAGCCTAGGGTCACCGGGAGTCACCTTGGGTAGGGTTTAATGGCAGTTTGAGTTCTCACCAGGGGACCTCAGGGTCAGGGCAGCCGCCACCGCCAACAACAGGCATCCCCAGCGTCCAGTCCCTGGCGCCATGGCTGCAGCAGGACGGCAGCTCCCTGGCAAGGTCTGCAGATGCAGGAGGCACCCTCACCAACGGTCCAGCCCCAAAAGTAGGAACAAGGCTGTGGTCTGTGGTCAGGAGGTGGAGCAGGCATTTCTAGGAACCAGGGAAGGCAATTCGACTGTCCCCTGTCCCCAAGATCGCTGCTGGTGAGAGCCCAGAAGATCATTTTGTCAGCCCAGACTCATCCAACACCTTCCTACTAATTCATCAGACCCCGGCCGGGCTGAACACATACATCACGTGTGACTGCCCCTCAGACCGTCTCAGGGGACACAGTCACCCTGGAAGTGCCAACCTTGCCTACCCATCTGTCCCTGGCCAGGTAACCTTGGGCAAGCACCGTGACCCTTGACCTCAGTTTCCCCATCATGAACCTGGGGTCTGTAAGGACAATGAGGAAGCTGATCCTTTGGAGAGCCCTGGGTTTGGCTGACTTTGCTGCATTTTATTGAGCTCCTACTGTGTACTAGACGTGGCTGGAAGAAAGGAACAGCAGAGAGTGAGCCTGAGTCCTGGGGTCTAGCAGGATCTGTGCTAGGCTCGGGTTTCTTCACGGTGGGGACCTTTGGAAGAGGAAGTTCAGATAGGGTCTCATGTAGCCCAGGCTGGCCTCAACTTCAATATGTAGCTGAGGATGACCTTGAACTCCTATTCCTCCAGCCTCCACCTTCCAAGTGCCGGATGGGATGACAGGCGTGAGCTACCACAGGCTCACTTAAGTGGGAACTTAAGCCCCCCACGCTGTGGAGTGAAGTCTAGAGCACACAATGGCCGGACTTGCGCTGGTCCATGTTTGGTGGCCGGACTTGCGCTGGTCCATGTTGTTTGGTGGCCGGTGTCTCAGCTTCAGCTTAGCTGGACACAGCAGGCTGGCCCCCAAGTCGGCCTGCAAGACCTACCCCCACGGCTGATGCAAATGCCGGAGGAAGGGACAGAAGGACCCGGATGGACTCAGGACACACAATGGTGCTCAGATGGCAATGTCCCTGTGCAGCTCAGGGAGGGGGGCACAGGGCCAGCACGGTCACCCTGCAGGGAGAGGGCACCGTTGTCTTGGCTTCCTTTCCCCCAAGAGGCTCATTCCAGCCACCCTGAGGACGAAGGATGGAGTTCTGCACCGGGGGCTCTGGAGGGAGCCAGGGCTGGGGGCGGGGCAGGGGAGTGATGGTAACAGACAGCACTGCATGGTGGGGGGTGGGGGGAGAGATCTCAGATAGAGAAAGGGAGAGACACACACGGAGACAGCCACAAGGAGGGAGGGAGAGAGAACTGGAGACGGAATGAGGCAGAGATGGGGGGGGGGATGACAGAGACAAAGATAAGGACAGAAAGCCAGGCTGGACGGACGGTGCTCACCTCTAATCCCAGCACTCTGGAGACACTGGCAGGTGGGTCTCGGTCAGTTTAAGGCCAGCCTGGTTTACAGAGTTGCCAAAAAACAGAAAGAGGAGCCGGGGAGGTGGCTCAGCGGTTAGGGCCCTGGCTGCTCTTCCAGAGGACCTGGTTCTGTCCCCATCCCACCCGATGGCTCACAGTAGTTCCTAACTCTAGTTGCAGGGGATCTGATGCCCTCTTCTGGCCTCTGTGGGTACTGCATGCGTGTGGTCCATATGCACAGGAACATAAAAAATAAACATTAGCCAGTGGTGATGGCGCTCGCCTTTAATCCCAGCACTCGGGAAGCAGAGGAAGGCAGGTCCTTCTGAGTTCGAGGCCAGCCTGGGCTACAGAGAGAGTTCCAGCACAGCCAGGGCTACATAATGAGACCCTGTCTTGACAAAACAAAAGGAAAAACACACAGCAAGTGAAGGGAAGTGCAGACTGCAGACTCAGGGGAGCCCTTTCTGCTCCCCGACTTCCTTCCGCTTTGGCGATCAGTTGTGAAACGTAGAACCACCTTGTGTGGAGCTCAACCGCCGAGCTCACAGCAGCCTCCAGGAGCACTGCACAGCCTTGAGAAAGCCAGGGAGCTTTTCCGTCTCGGTCTGGGTATCTGGGAACCCTGTGAGGACTAGGGCTGGAGCGGGAGATAAATGTTCCCCAAGATCTCAGCCCTCCCATGTGCCCTCATTATGTAACCAATGAGAACCGCGAACCATGAGCCTCTACTGCTTCGTAACAGGCTCACATCTGGTTTTTTCTTTTCTTTTTCAATTAAAACTTTTTTTTAAAAAAAATCTCACTATATGGTGACCTTCCCACCTCAGTGCAGGGAGGAAAGGTGTGCGTCTCCATGCCTAGCCCCTGAATCCCTTACTTTTCTAATATTGTACTTTACATGGGTGCATGTTTCTGTGGGGGAGGGGAGAACGTGTGAGGGCCTGAGAACAACGTCCGTCCGTTCCTTAAGTGCCACCCACCTGGTGTCTTGAGACAGGATCTCTCCCTGGCCTGGAATTTGCCAGTTTGGCTAGGATGGACGATCAGGGAGCCCTAGGGCTCCTCCAATCTCCATTTCCCCAGTGCTGGGGTTACAGGCGCGTGCCCTCACACGATCGCACACAGGCGGGTGCCCTCACGCTCCCCTTAACTCGCTCATTCGGGAGACAAAGAACATTGCCTCTCTGAAGACACTGTTCTGAATCACCAATGCTTACAGTAAGAGCTCAATAATTCTCTTAGGCAGAAAAGACAGAGGCCCGGGAACAGCAAAGACACCAGCTACCTGTCAGTTTCAGAACCTAACGCAGGCTCAGCAGAATATGGCACTCAGCCTGTCTTTGTCAATAAAGTTTTGTTGTTGTTGTTTTGTATTTTTGGTTTTTTGAGACAGGGTTTCTCTATGTAACAGCTCTGGCTGTCCTGGAACTCGCTCTGTAGACTAGACTGACCTCGAACTCACAGAGATCTGCCTGCCTCTACCTCCTGAGTGCTGGGATTAAGGGAATGTGTCGTCACTGCCCAGCTATCAATAAAGTTTTATTGGCACACAGCATACGTATGGCCTATCAATGCCGATAAAGTTTTATTGGCACACAACCACCTCCACATATCTTCTCCTGCTCCTTTGGTGTCCACGACGGAGCACAGTTCTTGAAGCACAGACCGTCTGGCCCACAGCTCTGACCATGTTCACTATCTGGCTTTTTATCCGCCAAGTTCGCTGAACCCTGGGTGCGTCCTGGGCCCCGTTCTAAGAGCTGTGAGGCGAGGATGATGCTGTTAACCCTCCAGCAGTCTAAGGAGGTGGGATGGACAGAAAGACACAGAGGCCGCGAAATACATCCTCAGGAAAGATAGACAGGTGTGGAGAAGTAGGCCTGGCTGAGGCAGGGGGATCTCTCTGAGTTTCAGGACATCCTGGTCTACATAGTGGGACCCCGTCAAAAGAAAACAAAACCAAGGTGGACGGCTCCTGGAGAGGAGCTGAGGGTGTCCTTGGGCCTCCACACGCACACAAGGTGAACACACATGCTCCACAAAACCAAACGACAACTATTCTATCCTAGAGGCGCGTTTCGTGGCACACCCTCCCTGCTCTACCCCAAGGCCCAGTCTGTCCAGGGCCACGGGGCTGCAGCCCGGGAAGCCACGCGGTACACCCTCTAGGGGAGACAAGCCCTGAGCCTGTCTTACTGCGGCTCTCCAGGGTCCTGGGAACAAAGTCCGAGTTAACCTGCTGCCCCCTCGCTCACTCCGGCAGCGTCAGGGGGCTGACTAAACTCTTGAGTTCAAGAGACCAGACCCAACCGTTAGCCCAGGCTGGGCCTCCCGCGGAAGCTGAGTCCCCCCCCCCCCCCCCCCCCCCCGAAACCGCTGCTGTGGCTGTCCCGCGGCTCGGGGCTCCACTGCGGGCCCTCGGCTACACATCTGGGCTCTTTTCCTCCGGACGACGGGGTCCGGGACCTGAGCGACGCTTCGGGGCGCAGCTGCGCCGGTGCGGGGCGTCTGCGGCCGGCAGGAGGCGCGCGCGGGCGCGCGGGGCGCAGGGAGCGCGCGGAGGCGGCGCGCGCACGAGCCCACCCGGCCGCGCCCGGACAATACCCGGCGCGCTGGGGACGATGCCCGCGCCGGTGCCGCCCCCGCGCCGCGCAGCCCTGGCCGCCAGGCCCTAGAGTCGGCCCTGCCCCGCGCTGCACCGCCCACGGACCTCGCGGGAGATGGAGTGAGTACCCGGCCGCGCGCCCTCCGCCGCCCCAGGCCCCCAACGGGGGACCCGGAGGCGACGCGGGGAGACCGTCCCCAGCTGCAAAGGGGAGGGATCGAGCTGGGCCTCGCGCTCCAGGCCCGGTCCCCAATCAAGCTGGGGAGGAGGGGGGGGGGCGGGCGGGACGGACCCGGATTGCACCCACACATCGCTTGCAGGATGCGAAGGAGAGGGGCCCACGCGTGCACGACCCTTCATCCAAGCTGGGCCACCTGTGGGTGGGCGCCCCCCGAGAGCCTATGGGACCTCGGTAGTAGTGGGGACCCTAACTCAAAAGGCAGGGTGCTCCCTGCCTCCCCTCCCCCAGCTTCGGCTAGCCGCTCCTGGAGCTTCCGTCGGTCCCTCCTGCGCGCTGCCCTCCTCCTCGTGGCCTCACCGGGGTCCGCAGACTCCTGGCAAAACCGATTCCGGCCCATTAGATGTGGTCCCGAGTCGCCACTGGCTGGAGAGGTGGATTTCCGCGGAGAACTAGGCGGGGCGGTTCCCTGTCAGGGGCTCTAATCTCATTTCCCCCTTTCCCTCTAAGAATGCTTCCCCCCCCCAGGAGAAAGGGGGGACCTGATGGTGTGACTCAAAGGGGTGACTGGATCAGGTTGGAAACGGTGGTGGTACTCAGTCCCCAGACCCGGCTGGTGTGAGCTGGGGTCTGTTTGTGTGGGTCTGTGAGAGAGACGGACGCAGTGGGGGATTTTGTGCAGAGCCAGGCCCCAGAGAGCACGGACAGTCAGTCAGTCAGGCATGCAGCCCCTCTAAGCCGTGTGAGGGTGCCCCCCAGCCCCTTACTCCCACAGGTGGGAAGGATAGGTGGTTGAGGGGTGTTTGACAGGCCTGAGGGTGGGGAAACATTCCCTAGGTCACAGACCCGCCTGCCTGGTGACTGGGGTAGTAGTGGCATTCCCCCGCAGGGCCCCCGTCCTCACCCCGGCCGGCGCTTGGGACATAGGAGCCCAGCCAGCTTGGCTGGGCTGGTGGCCGCTCCCCCTATCCTTCCCTCTCTGGGTGTGTTTCGGACGAGACAACTTTCCTCTTGGGATTAACCCGTGACCCACCACACCCACCGATGGGTGGAAGCTGTCACATCCCTGCCCGGCCAAGAAGGCTGGCTCCCAGTGCTTTCCTTCAGAAAGCCCAGACAAAGGCCTGGCTGCTCCCCCACCCCGCCCCGGGAGCCCCGCCAGGGGCTCAGGGGAGCCAGCGCCCGGACTTGCCTGCCCCACATCCCCTGGCTTGTTTATCTGTTCGGCTGGCCTGGCCCAAGGGAGCAGGGACAGGCCTGGGTGTGGCGGAGGCCAAGGGGCTGCGCTGACAGGTGAGAAAACCTCCCGTCCAGAACAGCAGGCTTTTTCTGCTTAGGCCTCCATTGTTTCCCGTTCTTCCAGCCCTTCCTTTCCCACCGGGGATCCAGAGGCTCAGAGGGGACTAGGTGATGCCCCAGAGCCACACAGCACACCCAGAGTCCCTTAGCACCTGCTGCAAGGCTCTTGTGGATTCCTGAAGCACTGTGTGGCTCACGCACGAGCCTCTCCCTGGGTGGGTGGTCCAGTGGTTACTGAGTTGGGGGTGCGGTTCAGCGAGAGGCTGGCCCCATGTGGCAGTGAATGAGAGAAACCTCTATTAGGTTTCCAGTTGACTCAGGTTGGGGTGAAGTTTCCAACTGGCCCCGGCCAGTCCTGTGCGCCCGACCCTCCATTTTCATGGTCCTTTTCCACAAGGGCTGAACTCATTCCCTGGATGGCCCAAAACGTGGGAGATGGAAGGCTGGGGAGAGAGGATCTTCACGATGCCTTTTAAAGGTCAGGGCATGGTGGCCCAGGCTTTTAATCCCAGCACTCAGGTGGAGGCAGGTGGATCTCTGTGAGTTCCAGGCCAGCCTGAGCTACATAGAGAGACTCCGTCTCAACAACAACAACAAAAATACTTTGAAAATTAAGAAAAAGAGTGGGGTGTGGTGGCGCACGCCTTTAGTCCCAGCACTAGGGAGGCAGAGGCAGGCGGATCTCTGAGTTCATGGCCAGCCTGGTCTACAGAGTGAGTTCCAGGACAGCCTGGACTACACAGAGAAACTGTTTCAAAAAACAAACAAACAAAAGAGGTGTGCATTAAAGAATGAAAGGAGAGCATTGCAGAGATGGCCCAGGCTTAAGAGTGCTTCCTGTTCTTGCAGAGGCCCCGGGTTTGGTTCCCAGCACCCACGTGGTGGCCCCCAACTCCAGTAACTCTAAATCCAGGGGACCCAACGCCCCCTTCTGGCCTCCACAGACATTGCATGCATATGCACAAATCCACACACAGACTAAAAATTAATCTTTAAAAAATTTAAAGACCTAATAAAATTACTTTCGGAGATATGTGGCAGATACGGGTGGCCAGGAAGCTGTAGCAATCCTCCTGCCTCAGTCTCCTGGAGGGCTGGGGTGACAAATGTGAGCTACCAGAATGGAGATGTTGAAAAGGGTGAGTGCTACCTGGATCCTGACCCCGCACCTCACCCCACCCCAGCCCCCCACCCCGCCCTGTGTGCCTGTAAGTGCCTGTCTGCACCAGGTCTACACTGATAACGGAATGTCAAAACTTTGGTGTCCTCTGTATCTACTTGGTTGTTGAATTTGCAGACTCTGGCTTCATGTGTCAACTCCGTGATGCTTTTCTCCAGTACAAGGGAATTTGGTTCGAAATGTGAGAGTTGGTTTTTGTTGTTGTTGTTGTTGTTGTTTTTCGAGACAGGGTTTCTCTGTGTAGCTTTGCGCCTTTCCTGGATCTTGCTCTGTAGCCCAGGCTGGCCTCGAACTCACAAAGATCCGCCTGGCTCTGCCTCCCGAGTGCTGGGATTAAAGGCGTGCGCCACCACTGCCCGGCTTATAATTTTTTTAAAAGATTTATTTATCACATATACAGTGTTCTGCCTGCATGTGTCCCTGCAGGCCAGAAGAGGGCACCAGATCTCATTACGGATGGTTGTGAGCCACCATGTGGTTGCTGGGAATTGAACTCAGGACCTCTGGAAGAGCAGCCAGTGCTCTAACCGCTGAGCCATCTCTCCAGCCCCGAGAGTTTTTTTTTAAATTTGGTTTTGTTTTTCATCTTTTGTTTTTGTTTTTAATTATTTGTGGGAGTTGGTCCTCTCCTTCTGCCGCGTGGGTTCTGGGGCTGGAACTCAGGTCGTCAGGCTTGGCAGCAAGCCCTATTACCCACTGAGCCATTTCGCTGGCCCCTGAAATGTGAGTAAAATTCACTCATTTAGAGATTTTTGTTGCTGTGTCTTAGTTTGTTATTATATTGTTATTTTTGTGGGCGGGGCATGGTGGGCGTCTGGAGGTCAAAGGACAACTTGCAGCTCATTCTGTCTGTCTACCATGTGGGTCCTGGGGATCGAACTCAGGGTCTCAGGTTTCTCAGCAAGTGCATTTACCTGCCGAGCCATCTGGCCAGCCCTCTCCTTGCAGTTTTAATGCTGTTTGTTTGTTTGAGACATGTAGCCCAGAGTGACCTCAAACTCACTGCCCAGCCGAAGAAGACCTCAGCTTCTTAATCCTCCTGCCTCAGCTTTCTGAGCTGTAGCACCACTGTCAGATTTTTTTTGAATTTTCCGGAGCTGAGGACCGAACCCAGGGCCTTGTGCTTGCTAGGCAAGCGCTCTACCACTGAGCTCAATCCCCAACCCCAGATTTTTTTTTTTTAAAGATTTATTTATTTATTATGTATACAGAAGAGGGCACCAGATCTCATTACAGGTGGTTGTGAGCCACCATGTGGGTGCTGGGAATTGAACTCGGGCCCTCTGGAAGTGCAGTCGGTGTTCTTAACCTCTGAGCCATCGCTCCAGCGCCCCAGATTTTTTTTTTTAAAGGTTCTTTTTTCTCCCTAAGGCAGGCTTTCACTGTGTAGCACAGGCTGACTTCCAATCCGTCACCCACCACACCCCCCACCCCACCCCCCGCCTCAGTCTCTGAGTCTACGAAAGGTTTCCTGTTTTGTTTTTGCCCTTTCTACCCTGGGCCTTTTCTGTCAAGGATTCTCAAGGACCTGCTAGGCAGGGAGCACCTGTCCGCCAGACCGGTGGTGCAAACAGGCACAGGGAGACAGCCTTCTGTGACGTGCGCTCGGGTCCCAGTCCCTGAGGGCTGCAGAGCCACAGTGTCTGCGCTAAAGGACCAAGGCCCTGGCGGGGTGAGGCCCTGGCGGGGTGAGGCCCTGGCGGGGTGAGGCCCTGGCGGGCAGGCTGGGCTGAGAGGCTGCCGCTCAGGAGCCGGAGGAGCCGGGACCTGTGTCTGGAGCGCACGCGGCTGCAGAGGCCGTCTGTCTCCCGGGGAGTCAGAGCACGGTAGCGTGTCTGAGGATGGTGATGGAGCCCAGGCCTGGCCCCGACGACTGAGAAAGCCGCCCCAGGGAGCCAGCTGCATGAGAACAGCTGTGGAGGGTGTGGCCTGGCCTGGGCACCCAGCAAAGAGGCCGAGGAGGCCCGGTGGAGATGGGGGGGTGGCGGTGGGCACAGAGGCTGGGGTTTTGTGATACCGACACAGGGAGAGGAGATCGTGTCTTTTGTCTTCTCTCTATCTCTCTCTGTCTCTGTCTCTCTCTCTGTCTCTTGTTTGTTTGGTGTGTTTGTTTTTGTTTTCAGAGAAGGTCCCTCTATGTCCTGACTGTCTTGGAAGTCACTCTGTAGCCCAGGCTGGCCTCAGACTCACAGAGATTCTCCTGCCTCTGCCTCCCGGGTGCTGGAGTTAAAAGCATGCGCCGCCGCCACCACGCGGCTCTAAATAAGTCTTTTAAAAATCTGGAATAAGCCGGGCGGTGGTGGCGCACGCCTTTAATCCCAGCACTCGGGAGGCAGAGCCAGGCGGATCTCTGTGAGTTCGAGGCCAGCCTGGACTACCAAGTGAGTTCCAGGAAAGGCGCAAAGCTACACAGAGAAACCCTGTCTCGAAAAACCAAAAAAAAAAAAAAAAAAAATCTGGAAT